TGTGGCATCTGGCGCCACTTTTTTAATTTAAATTATTTGAAGTGGCTTAATCTGAGCCGTTTATGTTGATGTGTGGATGCCACCTCAATTAATGAGGTTGTCTGGGCATGCACGCGTGTTGTTTTTTGTTTAATTTCTGATTTGTTTTGGTTGGGCCTAGCCATTTCTTATTTTTGCACCACCCTTTCAACTGGACCATAGCGGGTTGAATTAGAATCAGTGCATTATAGGTTTGCTGATCTCACCCCTCATGTTATGTTCACATGCTTGTTTTTTATTTTCTTTTCCTTTTTGTTTTGATTTTATTTTTATTGTTTAAACCATTTTAAAAATTCTTAAAAATATATTTATGAACCTTTGACATGTTGAGATAATTTTGGATATTTTTATTTTATTTTCATACTTTATTTGAATTTAATTTGAAGAGTGGTTTTTCATTGTGGTCCTTAGCTAGGGTTTGGTGTGTTGATGGCTTTGCTATGCATTTTTATCCAATATTTAACACATATGTTGAAATATGAATGATAATTTTTCTAGTGTAATTTTCATGCCTTGGTGATCATTTCTTGTTTGTCTTTCATATGGTTTCATTTGATCCTCGATTCTTGCTCGATTAGCTTCCTATGTGAAATTGTTTGATTCAATTTGTGATGCATTTATGCAATTCTTCTTGAGATATTTTGCACACTTGTTTTTTATGGATATAATATTAGTTAGAGCCTCTTGGTGGAATTTATTAGGTCAGTTTTCTATTTTTGGTTGATGCCTAGATGTGACTTGGTTTGGGATTGAATATGCATGATGCTTGACCTATTTTTAAACCATTTTGCCTACTTGTGTTTAAGTGAAGTTTGAGATGTTTATTTGATGTGATTTCATGATGTTTTAACTTGGTTGAGAGCTTTGGATTCACTTTCATTTGGTTATATTTCTATTTGTGGTTGAATTTCCAAATTGATGATGTTTTGGCCTTGCTCCTTTGATGTTCTTGACTTAGTTCCTTGAGATGCTTACTTGTATTACCTAATGGATGCTTTTTGACTCTTGTATTCTTTTATTGACATTTTTAATATTCTGGTCCTCATGTTATGATGTTTGTTGCATGATCATTTCACGCTTCTTGCTTTTTTTGCTCACTTGTTTCTTTGTATGGATGATTTGAGTGGTTTTCTTGTGCATGATTTGAACATGATCCTTCTTGAATTTGTATGATATCATGTAATTTAATATGTATTGAATCATTTATGTTTTATTATGACCTTGATGTTATGGTATGCCTTAATTGATCATTTGTGATTTATACCTTGCTTGAACATATGTTTCCTTCTTGAAGATGATCATGGTGTATGCTTGCGTAGTTTTAATGCATGTTTAGTCTTGATCTTTGATGTTTCTTCTTGCTATCCATGATTTGATGTTTAGATTGATGTTCATGATCATGGTACTACCTATCTTGTTTCCTTGGCCTAATTTCATTTATTTGAACTATGTTTGACTTGCTTTTATGAGTTGGTGAATTATGAATGCATAGTCTTTGTTGTGGTTCATGTTAGATGGTGTGGTGCCTCTCTTTTCATCTTTGATTTGAATTAATCATGGTATGATGTGAATTCTGACTTTGTTTGTTTCTCATCTTTTTAAACTCATATTGTCTTTGTATGATGGTTAATGGTGTTCAATAATGGTTCCAAAATAAGTTTGCTTGTACACTTCTAAGTTTACTCCTGTTGATGTGATGTTTGAGAATATGTGATTTATTGTGTGCTTTATCCTCATTTGATGTCTTGATTCATTTGATAAACATGCTCTAATCTTGGTGTGACACTTGTTCTGATGTTGAGTTCTTCTCATCTTGTGTTGCTTTGACACTTTCTTTCTCTACATCTCTTTTCTTCTCCTTTGATTTTTGGTTTCCTATTTGTTGTTTGAGATTTATTTATATGATGTTTACTTGTTCTTAATCACATGCTCCCTTAGGGCTCCTAGTTTGAACTTAATTTTTTATTAGGTTCAAAGTAGGATAGACATTAGGCTCTCAATCCTCTGCATGCCAAAATTAGTGTAGTCCCTTTTAACCTCAACTTTAGGTCCATCATTTGCATGATAACATTAGGTAGACTTCCCTTCTCATCCTTAACTATAGGGACGTATTGCATGACAACATCTAGGTGAGTTTCCTTAGATTTTCCTTTTGCCCTTTGAGTCTTCTTTCTCCTCTCAAAACAAAATTAAAACACTTAATAAAGACAATGGGCATTGTATGCCACGAGCCTTAAGTACATGAGAAAAGATGAGCAAATGAATTTCTAACCTCATCTTAGAGTACTTTGTGCGGGAGACTCTTGGATCGTTAGCGCAAAGTATTTGATCCTATGTCATAAAATTTAGTGCGATGCATATTTTAAACAAAGTTAATCCAATTTTGTTAAAACTCACAAACAAACTACAAAACATTTTATCATTCGGAATTGTTTGTCAAATTATTCTTCAGAAAGAGTGTGTTATTTCCGTTCTACCGCAAACAGGCATCAACCCTAATTGCTGGAACGGGAACTTAACGTCGCTCAGGAAAAACACCTAACAATTCGTGAGCAGAACTATGGTTGCTCTGATTTCTCATGCCAGATGAGGATACGTAGGCACAAGATGGCGAAGTCTTAGCGAGAAACCTTCTCCATCACCCGTAATCCTCTGAACTACGTTGACTCTGACTTTCCCATTGCACGAGGAAATATGTAGGCCTAGAACGTAGAAGTCCTATCGAGTCTTCTTTTTGTTTTTTCCCTATTCATTCTGTTGGCAGTTGGCTTTAGATAAACACACCCTTTGATTAGAACAACAAGAGTGAGTCCCTTTGAGTACAACAGACGCGAGGGGGTGTTAATACCTTCTTCTCGCGTAATCGACTCCCGAACCCAAAATTTGGTTGCGAGACCATGTCTTCTCCTTTTTTGAGGTTTTCTTTGATCGTTTCCTTTCCCCCGTCGAGATAAATAACGTTTGGTGACGACTCTATTTTCCGCCGGTTGTTTTTCATAGTTGTGACAAAACCATGATGCTTCCATAAAAAATTTGGAGACGTAAATTGGTCAGTTGTTTAGAAAAATAATTGCTTTACCAAGTTCGACTAGAGGATTCTCAGGTAATATGGTAGATAATCCTAAAAATGAATTGTTTGAGGCTGTGGACACAGGGTTTGAAGTAATTAATGATAAAGGTAAGGATGAAATAGTGGAAGAGGTGATTATGGATACGGAGAACGAAGATCATGGTGACCAAGAAGAGAGTGGAGTCACCATTGACCAATTTATAGACAAAAACTCTCCATGGAGAATAACAAAGAAACAAATCCTTAAAGATCCAAATCCTCCACTACCGGATTACATTAAGGCATTATATCCTATAATCAATAAGAGACCCCTTCATGAAGATGAGGCAAGAATGTTTTCCAAGTTTAAGGAGATGCTCAAGACACTGCAGGTAAGTATCTCTTTCCATGAGGTTTTAGAACTTATGCCTAAATTTTTTTAATTTATGAAGGCACTACTAAAGGGTAACAAGCAAAAGGTAGAAAAGGAACAGGTCAATATGACTGAAAAAGATGATAATCTCATGCCTAAAACATTTCTACCAAAGCTAAAGGGTCCATATAAGTTCTCTATATCTTTTACAATTTGTGGGGTGGAGATCGCACATCCCTTATGTGATTTAGGCTCGAGCATAAATGTGATTCCACAAGATAAAGCTAAAGAATGTGACTTAGGGGAGATCATACCAAGCAATATAACTCTTGTTTTACCCGACTCGTTTGTTACTCACCTAGTTGGTGTTATACAAGATGTGTTAATGCATCTTGATGCTTTAACTTTTCTTGCAGATTTTGTAGTATTGGACATGAAAGGCGACTCAGAAGGCTCGGTGATTCTCAGACGCCCATTCTTGGCCACTGAAAAAGCAAAGATCGGCGTGAAAATAGGTGAACTTATTTTGAAGTTCAATAAAGAAAAAACGGTTTTTAAGGTGTATGACTGAAAACCATATGTGGACGATTTAAAAAACATAGTAGTCACTGCAATCTAAATATTCCATCATAAAATTATAATGATTAATTTAACATATTTCAAAAGAAGAGATTAAAATCATAATGATTAATAGCATATTTTAAAAGAAGAGATTTTAAGTATCATTCTGATATTAGAACATCCTTTTACAAAATTATATATATAAAAAGACTAAAGCAACTTATAATAAAAAATAGGGGGTATATTATTTATCATGTATTTTGTTTGACATGTTATATTATGTATTATTTTAGATATTTTTTCTTAAATAATTATTTATCAGTGGCATGTTATGCCATTCTTTATGTTGGTGTGATTTAAATGTGTTGTTAACAAAAATATGTACTTTGCTATTGTAAAACACATGTTTTCCTAGTATATAATCCAAACACATGATGAGAGGGTGCTCAACACCCTCAGATTCTATAACTCGTGAGAGGTGCTCAATATGTTCCAATTAGAGTCTTAAATTTGTAAACTCAAAGGTTTTTATTATGTGATCTAAATTGCACAGATAGTGTGGATTGAAATGCACATAAACTTCTATAAGGTGACGTGGTTGATTCATTTGAAGTTCACAACACAAAACAATAAGCTATTGCACATACCCATTTAAAATGAATTCTAACATACTTGTAGTATACTAGTACAATGTGACTCCTCCTTATTTGCTTAGGATCAATTTTGAAGTGCAATTGTTTAGAAAAATACACAATAGTATCTAAAGTTTCTCAATGATGAAACTCAAAACACAATCACATACATAAACCACCACAATATTAATTTTGACAAATGCAACAATAATTTATTTTGTATAATGATTCTCACAATGAGAAGCATGATTCAAAACTGTACCCACTCCAACCGTTCTCAATCTCAACTACACCAAGAAACAAAAGAGACATAACAAAAACATTAAATGAAACAACATAATTTGATCTATGACCACCCAAATACATAATCAAGAACATAGACCAATGCCAAGGAGAATGGATAGAGTAGGATAGCCAGTATTGATGTCCATAGAGGGAAAACGGTGCGGAAACTGGCGAACGCGCCCATGACAATGCAGACGATGAGAATAACCAGCACTTCTGAAGAAAAGTCCCATGTCAATCCCCTCACGTATACGAGCGCCAAGAAGACCGATAGGCATAGCACATTGTTCATTGTTACTGCACCATATATCTGCAAAATAAAATAAAATACATAATCATTTGACTAGAAGCAGATTTCGTTTCAAAAACAGACAGTACTAAACAAGAAAACAAACCTCGGAAAATGTTAATGATGCTGTTTGCCTCTTATCACGACTAGCAAAAATTATTGCTGATACAGCTTCACTTGAATTGGTTGCTAGAGGTAGAAAAATGAAGGAAATGAAGAAAGCTGGAATATTTGTAGCAGTAGAGAAGTCATCGACCGCACCAACCAGAGGATCAGCGAATGCAGCGGCGATAAGGGCACCTAGTAGCAGCAGCAGTCCCGCTTTGGTGGAAATCCATCCAACATTCTCAACTTCTTCAGTGGCTTCATCACCCTGACCCCCCACATCCAAAAGATCGTGTTCCCGCTTTGTTTCCTGTGCATAAAATCCATCATACTTGCGTCCCGAAAAGGAAATAGGACAAGTTTATGACGCTGAGCAAAGTGCGACTTACGGTGTGAAAATCACTTAAAAACTTTACAGTGTGTGCACCAGCATCACCACCTTGAACTTTAGAACGCCTGGCCCCTTGAAGCCATCTGGAGACTCCGTTAACAAACTCTGTTTCGTCAATAAGTTGATTACGAGAAGTATCAAAATCCGCCATAATTCTTGTTACAGCGTCGTCGTGGTCCAGGTCAATCTCCTCGAACTGAATTCCAACAACCAGTGCTGTCATTTCACCATGAGTAAGATGTCCATCTTTATTTTCATCAATTGTTGCAAATAACCTGTATATGCAATTAGGTCAATGACAACCAAAATCATCAATGTCTTAAGTCTTAAGTCGAAGCACAAAGGAGAGAAAGCCTTACTTTCTAATTACGTCTGTGTTGGGTTCGCCATTATCTTTCAGAAGCTTTCCCAATGAACGCATCTTCAAATGTTTCAGAAGTCCCAAAATAACATGCTTATGTTTAATATATTCCAATTTTCGCTTTTGTATCCAGGGTTGGAAAATCTGCACCATTTTTGTCATTATTCTCAGTTCTAAATGTTTAAAATACAGGCAACTTTGTCTGAAAAATAATAATAAATTATGTATACCATAGGTGTTACATAAAACGGCACAGGAAACACACAAGTACACCACAAAAAAGAAACTTACCTGGTAAAGGCAATAAGAGATCAATAAGCAGACAGAGATAACAAGACCAATCAAAACAGCCAAGTGCCTTCCAGAAGTTGAATTGAGCATTTGCGGTAGTTGAACAATCACAAACGGAATAACAGATATAACCATAATCCTTGCAGCATAACTTGTCCAAATATCCGTACTAACACCAGAACCTGCACATAGATATTTTAGTAGAATACAAGCACAGAACAAAATGAAAGCATTGTCATGTTTGGTTGCTTGAAGAACAAGAAAGAGGAGACGAGAAAACACAATAATCCGAATGCCAGGGCATAAAGAAGTTTGTTAAAGTAACTCTCAATCTTTTTATAACTGAACAATATGAAATGACATACCAGTTAGACTGAATCCTCTAGTGTCTGTTGAATCAAGTGCAATGGAATTCTCAATGTCACACTTGCCTACAATCACACAAGTCCCCCATATTATAGTCAGAAGCAGCACCGTTGATCCGGCCAGCAGTCCCATTCCAACCGCTACCTGACTTTGAGCAACTTCTGCACTTCCTGAAAGCCCAGACACTACACAAAACAACACAGTTATGTCAAAAGCAAAATACATTAAAGCACAAATGAGCTTAAATCTTCATATAAAAAAAACAAGAATAGGAGTTAGACTCAACTCAACCCTACAAAATCGGATACTGGATACCGAATAGTAAAGTGATGGTTGGTTTCCACTTATAAAGGAGATATTTGACATGAACAACAAGCTTCATATTCATCCCACAAAAAGTCACACTCAAGATAACAATGAATCACTTTAACCGACAAATCCGTGATTTGACAGAGAATAAGAACAATATAAATAACTCAATTTTATTCAAAAGGTTGTCAAAGTTTCACTTTACAACTTAAAGGGACATGATTCATATTCCACTTAGAATAGTTGTAAAATAGAGTAAAGTGGTTTTTGTCTGAATATCTAAAATTGAGCTAAAAAAACCGCATCTTACAAATCTTAGATTCAAACCAGAATCGATTATAAAAGCAAAATCAATTTGAATTGAGAATAGAATCACTTAAACAACATAAATTAATAATTAGCTATGATTACCGAGAATGAGCATGGCATCAGGGAGAGCACCAAGGATAGGAAGAAACAATCCTCCAACAATGCCGGGACCCAAGATCTCAAGCAACAGTTCGCTACCGTTAGACAAAAAGGTAGCGGCGGTGTACATGAGAAATCCATAGACTATAATAAGAAACAAGTTTCCAAGGACGGTGGTGGTGCAGGGTAAGAAACCGTAGGTCTGCTCGCAGGCGGGTTCAGCAGCGGGATCTGTAGGGAGTCGAAGAACATTGAAATTGGAACCATCGGAGAGGAGATCGTGCGAGATGAAACGAGCGTGGGCGTGAGTGCAGAGGATTGCGGCTATAGCGACGAAGAGGAAGCGGAAGAGTGTGCGGTTGGAAGTGGTGCGGGAGCGGGAGCGAGAACGTGGAGGGGAAGTGAAAGAGAGAGACATGGTTGTTGTGTGCACTAATGGATGAGAAACATTTGTGTGTGTTTTTGTTGTTTGACTGTGATGAGTTTGAGGAAAAAATTAAATTTGAGATATTGGAATTAATTGTTATGATTAAGAAATTGAATTATGAAATGACTAGAGAAATCTTTCGGTTTACTTTTTTGTCGGTAAATTGAATATTTAATTTTAAAATAAAAGTTTGAATAAATAGTAATATGAAACGTCGATTTTAGATTTGCGGAAAGAGTAGTGGACATGACATGACACGATAGATGAGCGGTAGATGGATAAAAGAAGGTAAGGTGGAGGTGGAAGTTGAAGTAGGCCCGGTGGTGTTAACGAACTAATGTACTACTTAGGCCTTGATAATATTGGTATGGGTTCCACGTGTACTAACTATCATTTTTTTTGTCACATTCTTCACCCCATACCTCTCAACCCATATTATCAAAAAAACAATTGTTTCAAATTAGGAATTTGGAATATGCTTTTGACGTTTTAGTTAGAATCCAAACATAATGTGAATTTAGCATACAACTTACAAGCATTTAACATAAACACTTTGTTAAATCAATTCAACATCAATAAAGATCATAATTGAATCCACACAAAATCATTCATGACACATATTGTTTTATCAAGTTAACAACCATGCATGATGTGGTTTCATCAAATATCATAGAACAAATTAAATTTGAATATATAGTATTATGCTTTAGAATTAGATGATAATCTAAGAGGTTGAATTTGCAGGGAGTTGTAGTAGTTCAAGATGTTTGATGCGGTAAAAAAATGTTGACAAGTTAGGTTAATATTTCAACGTTTAAGTCACTAAGGGAGTAAGAAATGAAGTTTTTAGGGAGAAGGATTTGAATACCTCATAAACAACGCAGTTCTCTCTTTGAATATAAGAGGTGATTAGCAACTGAATGTGTGAGAAATGGATGAAATGCAGTCAGACGTCTGATTGATGTCTATGGAGGTGATTACGGGTGGGAAAATGGGACCCGCCCGTCGGGTATATCTGTTTTGCCCACACTTTTTTGTGGGGCGGGCCAACGTTTTAGGTCCACGTCCTCTAATATGTTCGTCCTGCCCCGCCCTGTTTTTTTTTCTTTTGCGAGCTTTTGTAGGTGCAAACATTAACATCAAATTTGTAGTTTTTAGGCTTAAAATGTGCAATGCTCACAGGCTCACCCCACACCACACTCATTTTTGCATGGGGATGGGTAAGGTTTTAGGCCTGCGCCCTCAATAAAGTCTGTTTCGCTTCTCCCTTTTTTTTTGCGGGTTTTGCGGGGCGGGCCTAAACGAGACGGACATGCCCGTTTGCCACCACTATGGACTTCGTGGGAGAGTTCACATATTCTGTAGAGGAATGAAATCCATATGTTCTGCATCTTGCCTTTTATGTTTCACCGATATTGGACTTTTGTGCTTTTGGGCCTTGCAAATGGTCCATAATAGTTTCCCCTCGTGCCCTCAATTTCTACCATGTAGGGCGAGGGTTTGAGATGAACGTTCTTGTTCGGCCACATAATCATATATGTCGAGACTTTGATGGGAAGTCGTCGTCTTTAGGAAGAAGCGCATTAAATACTTTCTTTGTGTGGTATGACGTGACATTGGGAGTGGTTGATATGTATCCATTCTCTAATCAGTAATGAAGTTCCTCTTAACTTTATGGTGTTTGAGTATCTTTAGAAACATTTTGGGTAAATCTTCACTGTTGGTTGTGCGAAACAATTGGGCAATCCTCAGTGTTTTAAAAAGGAAGGTTATGTGGGGATTAATATGGTGTGGCAAGAAATAAATTTATTTATTATTGTACTATTCAAAAAGTACATTGTATGTTCCTCCTGCAAGTGTAGAGGGACTCAGAGGTCTAATTAGTAGATTTATAACTTTGTATGGTGGTTAGAGATTGCCCACGGTGACGAGAAACCTTGTACGGTAGTGTTTTACAGTGGTTTAAGGAGTCCTGCTCACGTGAGGTGAGAGGCTATGTAGATGAACGGTGTGCTTAGGTTTAAGTGTATACAAGGGTGGTATCAGTATGATTTATAATCTTGTTAAGAAATATGCTTTAGGGTTTCATGATATTTCATCTTCCCTTGAGGGAAGAGTATTTATATAGGCCTCTAGGACCTAAGGTTTCCTTGGAAAGGGTCGTCGCCCACTCAGTCAATGATGGATTGTTGAATCTTTATTTCTAAGGGAGACGTGGGTTAGTTAATGACTCTGATTTCTCTCTGCCCAAGAAATGTCTTATCTCATGATTCCCACGATTGGGTGATAGCAAAGCTCCGGGTTAGGTGATTCCTCCCTTTGGGTGACATTCCATCGTCGAATCTTCTTGGACGGTCTAACGACATCACCCTGGGTGGGGCCCTTTATGATTATAACACTACATAGACCCTCAAACACGAGGCCTTTGATAAAATATGAAATGTTTTTAAATCGTGTCTTAGGGGAGTATCCCGAGAACCTACATTTCCTCAAGTAAGTCCATAGTTATCCATTGAAATCTTATTATTTTAGTCATGGTAACATGCAGCCCGACTAAAGAGACCATAAGTCCATCAGACGAGAGTTCGATTAGTCTAGGGAGTCTAACTCCCTCAGGCGCAAGAACATTTAGCACGTCTGATGAGACAATAAGTCTCTCGGGCGAGGCGTTTGACCTCTCGGGTAAAACCCTCGTAATATGGTGCATAAAATTCATATTACGAGGGTTTGAATTAGCATCCGATTTGAGAGTGAACTTATGCAAGAGTAAACTTTATGGTGTCAATATCAAAGAAGATTTTGTGTGTGAGTGTTTGTTGAGCAGCAAAAAATAGTTTTATAATTATCGTATCCACTGGGATCGGTGGTTTTCAAATACCGTTCAACAGTTTTTAAGATTCTAACTAGAGAATGGTTTTATATTTGGTTGGATGCGTGAAAGCAAATGAAAAAAAGTAAAATGGAGATTTCAGTGTAAGAAAACATACTAGGGGTAAATTTTGTCACTACGTATTTGTCATGCATAACCATACGTCAATAATATGCTCCTTTACTCAGTTATTTATATTACCACTTGTTGCTCTCATTTGTATCTCATATTAGTCTCAACATCGTGAGTTTAATTCATTACCTATTAGTTGATATCTCGATCTATTAACCGACACAAAGCATTACGTTCCAACAGTTATTGATCTGACCTAATCAGAAGGGGATCGCTGGCTGCCACGCGTCTTTGACTTACTGCCTGTTCACCGGTGTTGAGGAAAAGGAGGGGGGTGTACTTGCAAGACACTTCAAAGCCAAAGTAAGGAATTGGGCAGAGTGAGAGAAAATACAGAAAAGGGGTAAGAAGTGAATACCTGACCCTCTTGTGAAAGAGGGTATTTATAGAGTGACCCCAGCGCAGGGCCAACGGTCATTTGAGTTGGGCTGGATGGCCAGGCCCAACCCAAATGACTACTAGGGCTTACGTGGCGTAGTGAAGACCAGAACGTGGTCTTCACCCTAGTTCAACTGTCTCGTGATCTCCGGAAAGTGGGTTTGGCCTGCTCTTTCGGAGGTGGACAGTTGGTTGGTGACGTGTCCCCGCGGAAGGGAGCGCGTGGAGAACGTGTGAAGGACATGTTGTTCTGCTCGACAAGGGAGAAGGTCTTGCCCGCGGAGGGGCATTGTCTGCTCGGCGGGGACTCTGTGCTCGACGGTTGTGGCCCAAGCTGGATTGGGCTTGGCAGAATATCATTGGGCTGGGCCTGCCCGGTCAAGCCGGGGCCCAGGCCAGAACAGTTATAAAGCAGCAAGACTCCACACCAATCTCACTACAGTGCATGCGAATATTGAACCTAACTATATGTTTAGGCATTAGTATATAATCGATTATTATCTTGGATCTAGTAAGGACAAACACCTTTCGAATTTCATGTCTTAACATGAAACTTAGTTTTAGATAGCAAAGCTAAAACAAGCATTAAGATTAAAGGGTTATCAATATTAAAGCTTGGATAGATTTACATAAAATGTCATGACCTATTTACTGCATGAATATAATGACTACATCTAACCCAGAACAAAGATATATTTATCTACGCTTACTCATTGTAGTTGTCGATAATCTCGTGAAGCTCATCTTAGAAGTTTATCTTCCCTGTCAATTAAGCAGTGTTTTTGCCTTCATGCTCCCTCTCTTATTCTTCTATTGTAGACCAAGGTGAACCTACTTCAATTATGTACTACCTCACTCCACTGAAATGAATTTGGACCCTTTGTTAGCCTTGTGCTTAACTTTCTTATCCATTAAGCAATACTAGTTGTCTGACATGTGGCCCTAGTCGCATTTCCTGGCTAAGCGCATTACCTCTATGCTTAGTGCATAAACCCTTGCTTCACCATGAATTACTTAAACCTGGATGTGCCATCTGGCTTCCTGCTCTCGCCTAGCATGCCTGTGGATGGGTCTAACGAGCCTTGAATGCCATGGTTTTACTTTGGCTTGGTCTTTGCATGCTGATTGTGGTTTTTTAGTCCTTTTTACCTGTTTTAATTTAATACATACCAAGAAAGCCCAACCAAGTGTTTTGTCACTTTTCATAGATAAATTTGAGGTCTTTATATTAATTGCTTTTAAAATAAGTTAATAAGTGTGTGTCATACCTTAATTTTGCCCCTAAATAAATAAGTTGACTTATTCACAGGACATTTGCATCCTTTGCATATCATGACATGCATTTCTTTAGGCATATTTCCTAAAAAGTATACCTGAATAAAATTTCAGTTTTATAGTCAGACTGGTTGAATTGATTTTCAATCACGCTAAAATTAGCAGGTGAAAGATTTCAAATTCGGGCCTTCAATTGTCTGTTTTATTGATCTACGTTTCACGTGATTTAACTCGATATGCTCATTTAGTTTTTTCGAATCTGTGTGTGTTCACATTTGAATCAGTTTGAGCCTTTTCATCTGGGTATTTTTAACTTCAAGATTTAATTTGTGACTGT